AGGTATTGGATGACAGTGTTTCTCAGTTTACATTGATGAGGGTAATTGTGATTCTTCCTCTGCCTTGGAAAAAAAAAAATCCCATAGAGACTTGATGAATAGCACAATGCTTGGAGACATTGGAGGCTGTGCAATGCAAAAGTAGCCATTTAGCATGAGCAAAGTGAGTCTATTAGATATAATGTAACTTAGATCTGATACTGAAGTGATTTCAAAACCAAAAATCCATGCATTTTCCAAAGTCTCAGATCTACTTAGTCTAAATCGAGAGAATGAGGCATCTCACACAGCATCCAGTGCTAGAAACGACTTTCATTATCTGAGCGGTTGTGCCTTTTCACTGAGAACAGGTAAGGGCTAAATTAGAGCCATGAGGAAACGAGGCATGTGTGAGAACAGAGACCTAGAGCCTAGTAAGCCTCACAGAGTTGTTTCACAGGGATGTTGGAAACAGCCAGCGAGGTACCAGCCTGTAGCAAGCGAGTTCTTATGCTGGGGAGTGATGTGATTTTCTGTGTGTCTGCTGGCAGACGTTGACTGCATGTCTCCGTGTGTCACAGAGCAGGGACATGGTGCCAGCAGCATGTGATTCAACACACAAAGTGCCTGGGGACCTGAGGTGCGCTGGCATCATGAGAGCATGGCTGCAGCCAGGGCGGCCACATCAGACTCCCCGTTGGGTCTGGTCTGTGGCCAACTCTTAACTCCAAAACCATGTGTGGGAATCGTGGGAGACTGTTGGTTGCCAAATACTCATGCCAGGTTCATTTCTGACAGCCAAACAGCATCCGTGGCCAGTTTCTGTGGCTGTGGGGTGTCCCCTGGCTCTGTGGCCCTCACTAGGCTCACTTGCATAGGAGGGTGACACAGTGCAGCCAGTGGTGCTGTATGCCTGCTGAAGGACAAGACATTGTTGAAGACAGGTGAATTCTTCAATAAAATGCATGCCTTTTGTGAAAGAAGGCAGCGTGCAAGAATGTAGCAGTCCAGCCTCTTGCTAGTTTTGCATTTTGGAGTGTTTTCATATTTCTGTGACATGACTGAAGATATGTAACAGCTCTTCGGTTAATACTGTATGCAAAAGTCCCTCATTCCAAGTGCTACTTCGCTCTCCCTTTTGCTAAACTACCTGTTTTAAACAACTGGCTTTTGGCTTTGATTATTAGGCTCACACAACACAGTTTTCAATGTTTAATAACTGGCTTTATGGTTCTGTTATAAATAACCAAATTATTATTATCTGTACCAGAACCAGGAGTAAACATGTTCTGATAATAACAGCTGTAGAGAAGCCTGGCTGCATAGCAATGGAACAGCAAGAGCAAAACTGTTCCTTGAATAACTGTTAAAATATATTGTTATAAATAATGAATAGTCTTCTTGACAAAACATACTGCTATTAAAAATGGAGATGAGATGATGTGATGGATCAGTATTTATTTTTTTTAAAAAAAGTGCTGTTTCTTTTACCTGTCAACTAGAATTCTCAATATTTAAGTGAACTGCACTGATTTTCTTTCTTGACAGTGCTAGGCACATGAACTCACAACTCCAGCAATCACCTACCACTCAGGAAAATTAGCTTTTGAATTTAGAACAGCTCTTCTTTTGGCTGTCTTGGCTGCAATTTTTAGAAGTAGTTAATTTTGTACTTTGTTTATGTGTTTCTCACATTTTCAATAAGCAATGGGAGGTTTGAGAGCGAATATAAATCTGTAATTTTATTTTAAGGGTTTTTTGGTGTTGTTCTTGTATTATTACTTCTTTTATCATTTGAATACATATACAAGGCAATTTAAGTCATAAAAACCTCTGAGTGTCATATTCTGCCACTTCAGCATTGTAATAAATATTACTTCAGTGAAGAAATGGTCCTCTTAATTTCAAAGGGACTGCTCACTGAAGTGTTGCTAGTAGGCATGGATAAGAACACCAGACTCTGGCTGACAAACTTTGACTTGAACTTGAATCGGCAGATGATCACCAACATGACTGAGGAGTGCAAAGCCAACTCCATAGCTGCTGTCTATACTACAATTTACTGTGCACATTTATATGTGGTCTCTTATAGCTACATAGTGAAACTGAAAGGCCAGCATACTCATTAGGTGATTAAGCTACCTCCATGAGTGGAAAACGTTGGTTTGGGGATTATAGATCATCAATAAGTTGCTCATGTGTGAAATGAAAAGCCACCTTGAGGTCAGCTTCCAGTAAATTCATTCTGAGCTCAGGCAATTTGGAAACACCTGTCTAAGCACACTAATTATTTGATTGACTGCCATGACTTGAAAAACAAAATAGAAGTATCAGACAATAATGACTTAATCTGAACTTTTAAACACCACTGCTTTTTCAAATAAAGAGATCAGGGTCTGTAGCAAATGTGGCTATCACAGGGCAGCACAGCCCACTGGTCTGCAGTGATAATAGCTCTCTACAAGAACCCACAGCCTTCCTGATCTGAGTTGCTTGCCAAGATCTTTAGACAACCAGATTCGTGAGACATGACCCGACATGCTGGAGAGCCAAGGGATAGCAGAGGTTGAAGGGTGATGCAGCCAATAATGCCTTCTTAGGGCTTCCGCCTCCTTACGGCAGGATGGAGCTGGCGGCAGGGTGAATGCAGCAGGATCCCAAGATCAGCCAGTACCGTCAGCCTCAGACACTTCTGGGTGCCCCTTTCCTCTCCTCAATGAGGATTCTGATTACACAGCAATCCCTGTGGCAGTGCTGGCTCGCCTCTGATTACATGATCTAAGAGCCTTGAGCTAGTGAGAGATTAGGAGAGTGTATTGGAAAGCATTTGAAAGCTGTGATTCTTCTACTGTTAAGTTGTACTTTTTGCTGAGCTCTTTTTTTCCACATTTGATATTGCTTTGACCTGTGTGTCCAGTGCTATGGGCTCATACGGCTGTATCCCCTGTTGACACTATTGACATTGTATTGTTCTTAGCCTAACATAAGCTCAAGAGTCTGTTTTTCAGGTGGGTTCGTGATGCCTTACAAATTTTACATGTATGAAAGCAGTATTTATGTAATGCAGATAGGGATTTTGTGTAGTCAAAAGGAATATGTGAACTGTATGGATGTAATTTAATCTATACTTGTGCATTTCTGAAATACGTGTTATGAAGGAGCAAGTAATGACTAGTAAGTAACAGAGGTTCCAAATTCTTAACTGAAACCCTGGTCCATGTGCTACATCAATTAACTGACAGACACTGTTCTGTCAGTTTTCAAGGGAATTCTTTAATCTGTTGCAGTCATTAACTGTAATTTAATACTACTGTAAATTAAAATTATATGTAAGATGTTCAAAAGGTTCCTCTTGTGACTTTGTGTGAGAAATGCCAGAGATGTGAGAGGTGTATATTAAGTTATATTAAAAACATAGCCAGAGTGCATGTTAGGTTTATCTTATATCCTGTAGGTACGCACTCATCCAGCTCAAGGTGCAGAGTCCTCAAAGTCACAAAACACTCTAATCTGAGAGAGGAACGAGTGACAGCATCTGTCCCTCATCTAATGTCATTGGGACAAATGAGCCCAAGGGGAGCACCTTGCCAGGCGTACACAGTGTTTCTCTCTCAGGACTCATTTCATCTCACCTTGCTCACAGCATTGCATCCTGCTGACATCCTCAGAACAAGCCAGTGTCCTCTCAAGAGTGTGTGCTAACAGCACACTGACTGGTCTCTGATGGAGATGCATACCAGTGCTCAGCCTTTCCGAGTCCTGTTGCTCTCTTCAGAGTGAATTGGGCACTGAGCTTGGCATATCTGGGGTTGTGTGCTAGACCTGCAGCTGTAGTCACCCTCGGAGGTGAAGTGAGCATGGCTAGCAGTGGGCTTAGCATGCCCACCCTGCACAACTTTTCTCCTGAGCTTCCCATACCACCACCACTTGTGCTAGAGCAGTGCTGTGGCATTGTGCCATCCTCTGTCCTCTTGATAAAGAATTTGTAATGCTTGATGAATGAATCATAGAATCATAGAATGCATTGGGCTGGAAGGGACCCCAAAGCTCATCTAGTCCAACCCCCCTGCAGTGAGTAGGGACACCTTTAGCCAGATCAGGTTGCCCAGAGCCCCATCAAGCCTGATCTTGGACATCTCCAGGGATGGGGCCTCTACCACCTCTCTGGGCAAACTGTTCCAGTGCTTTACCGCCCTTACGGTAAAGAACTTCTTCCTAATATCCAATCTAAATCTACCCATTTCTAGTTTAAAACCATTACCCCTTGTCCTATTGCTATGTGCCCTTGAAAACAGTCCCTCCCCACCTTTCCTGCAGGCCCCCCAATGAATGCTGCAGTGAAGCAGCTTGGGAGGTAGAATGAGGTTTGAAGCTATGGCTCATAGCCTAACAAAGGTGGTGTGCTGTCTGTGCTGCAGCTGGGACAGGCACTGAGCTTTGCTGTGCTCTGCTGTGTCAACTCTGAAACTGAGGGGCAGGCTGGGAGCCCCAACAAAGGCAGGGCCCAAGGCAGCACACCCCAGCCCTTCCAGAGGTACAAGTCCTACGAGTCTCTGATTTTGTTGTGGCATTTTGTTGTTTGCTATCATAAGCTATTTGGGATGATAAAAGCTTTCTGAGAGTTCACGGGCTAGTTGTTAACTTACTACAATGTCTTTATCTGTAGGTGTGAACTACTAGCACTGTAGTAAAGCTCTAGAGATTGATGTGAGCCAACAGGAACATGGGTTTATGAAAAAAGTTGATTTAGAAGAAATCACCATTGAATTTAATCACTCTTACAGCTGACCTAATTTTCTCTAGAAAGATTTAAGCTTTTCTAGTAAATTTGATGGTATGTCAACTCAGCATCAAGAATTTCTGCCTTTTTTTCTAGTGCGTGACTGGCATCCTGCCACACTGATCTAAAGTGAATTACAGCAGGGGGAACAGTTGTTTAAGAATACTAGAAAAAATATTGTAATTGTTTTACTTAAAGAATTATATTGAAAACATTACTCAATCTGTTTTTCTCTTCTCAGTTAGTAGCCTCCATCGTGTTTATCAGCTTTGGCGTGGTAGCAGCATTCTGTTGTGCAATAGTTGATGGAGTGTTTGCAGCACGACACATAGTAAGTACAGTGATTTTCTGTCATCTTTCATTTTTGATTACTTATGTCATTTCTAGCAGGAAAGCATTTTCTTTTGGTTTATGTCTAGCAATGTGTTAGGTTTTTTTGATAGTTCTTGTTGGAGAAAAGTCTTTTGGCAAAAAATTTCCAGGAAAGCCCATCATGTCAATACCCAGAGATGGTGCCAACTGCTTATTCAGGGAGTTCCAAATACAGAGGTGATGTAAACTGGTGTAATGACAGGCGTGCTAAAATTCATGCCTGCTTAGGAAAGGGAAGACACTTCAGCCACCACCAGTATTTGTTTCCCTTTGCACAAAGGCTTTGTGGGCACCGTAAGGATTTGGAACACCCTAGATGGTGATGAGTACCAGAAGTCCCCATGGGATCTTTGGAGAGAAGTGGATTGCAATGGCACAGAGAGAACATCTTGTTGGAGCAAAAACAGCAGAGGAAGTGGCGGGCTTTGGTTAGAGGTAGTGTGAAGGGGGAACCTACTGAATGACAAACAACCCAAAATTCACTATCTGCCTGCCATCAAAGGGTGGGTGGGTTATTTAACCAGAGTGACTAGTTTTTCCAATGTGTCTTCAGAACCCAGTCCTCCTCTTGCCAAACCTATTGGTGTCTCTGCTTCAAAAGGACATCATCGTACTGCAGTTGCGATAGTGTTACTAGTAGTTCATTACTGTCTTTGAGTGCCTGGGAGTCTTTCTCATCACCTTCTTGTGTAAGCACTAGAGAAACTTAGAACAAAGGTTTTTTTACTTTGGCTTATGGAGTTCAAATTAAAATAGCAGACAAAAAGGATCAATAGAAGAACAAGGCAGACTGGGTTGTGGAGTCATTTAAATATGCCAGTTTACATGTTAGATATGTGTTGTTTGCTGTTCTATGAGTCTCAACCCAACCTTTGAATTAAGCTTTGATTTCCAAAAGCATCAGGAAACAATTTGATATATGTTTTGATAGACACTAGAACTCAGAAGTAGTGTGCTATAATACAGCAAGTATGAAATACAGCTATGAAATATCATGGGCCTGTTCATCTTTCTGCTTATGTTCATTGAGGGGCAGCATAACACCACGGGCATCAGTAGGACTCCACTTATTTTCTGTTAGCAAATGCATCGGAATAATTAGGCTTTGGGTCACTTAGAGCATAAAGCTGTAAACTGATGTCTTTTTTACTGTTACTGAAAAGGACTTTAAATCAAATGTGTGCTTCAGAACCTCACATGCATTGCAAAAGGAAGGAGACATCTGTTGGTACAAACAACTGAGTTGTGCAATGTGAGCATGAATAAACACTCTGGGTTGTAATCGTGTTTTGTGCTATACAGACCCTGCATGATGCTGAAGTGGCTTGCTTTTACTTGGATTTGCCCTGTTGTTGCTCTGGATGTCACCTGGTATAACACTGTCTGATTAGCATAACGCCAGGGAGCCTTTCCGTGGGAGCTGCTTAAAAGAAGAATGGAGCAGATTCCTACTTAGGTTTCCTGCTCCTGAAAAATCGGTAGTTGTGCCCCATTGCGACTTACTCAAATACGGGACCTGTCTCCTCATTTTCCAGGAACCAGGCTTATTGTCGTCCTGCTTTGATGTGATCATTAGGAAGTGATTAGATGGCACTTGTACAGCCTTACACCTTATAACTGCAATTCAACTGTGCAGCTGCAGCCTCCAACTGCTGAGGTTAGACACAGTGTCACCTTCTCTGAGGCAAAGTGTGTGTGCTCAAACACAGAGACAGGCATTGCCCCTGTCATGTTTCTAGGTGTTGCCTTTGTCAGTTTGCACTCTCTTGGCTTTAAGTTCCTTTCACGTATGTTACCTAGCTATTTTAGAAACTACACCTTCCTATCTTAATCAAACAACAATATCATATTAGAATACTATTATACCCTTATAGCATCTCATACATAATACCTAGATTTTATATTCACCTCCTCTTTATTGGAGCATAAATAGCTGTGTGGCATTGCTTGCTGTCATGTCGATGTGTCATTATGGACTAAAAGTGATTCAGTTCATTGCAGTGCTCTCCAGAAAGAAAGTGGGTGAGTGAATTGTAGGAGAGCACCAAGGTACAAAGTTGTTGCACTCAACCAAGAAGGCGGCATCTTACAATCTTGGGTGCAGCTCTATATCTGCTTAAGTCAGTGACTGGGTATCTCTGCATCATCTGTGCAGAGCCAGAGACTGGAAGGGACTTGTCACCATCCAGCCATCCCTCAGAGTGCTGGAAATGTACGACCCAATGACACGAACCTGCTTCAGTCAGGGCATGACATGCTTCATAGAAATCTGTTTCCAGCTGTTTGTGTTTGGGCTGAGTTTTGTTTATCACATCTGTCTTTTTTGGTCTCTTTCACATATTACAGAACAAAGAAATACTTAGTAGGACCATTTGTTGGAAAACTAATTTGTGTGTCAACATGGTCACACTCACTTAATCTCATTCTCCTCCTTTGCCTAATAAGGAGTTTAATAGGATCAGGGGAAATAAAGGTGTACATCACCTAATTTCTCTGACTAACACACCTGGGGAAATCTGTAGGGGTGGTAGTGCAAGTACAGTCCCAATTTGATTTACAGGAACAGTGGGGCCTTATCAAACGAAGGTGTGCCATACAGACTGCGATATCATTGCCATTGCGTTATGTCCCCTTTGCAGCATAGCTGATTCCCTTTGGGGAGGGCAGTAACACCACATTTGGTCCATTCCCACAGGACAGTACCAGCCTTTTTCAGACCTGTGTTGTGCTGTTGCTGCTTTGGCCACTGCCTTTGGGGGATAACTGCTGGAGAATCGGGCTAAACTGTCCTTTGTTCAGGGAAAGGACAAACTCCTGGCGTGTCAGAGCAGGTGCCCAGGTCTACACTAAAGCTGTAAAATTTTCTTGAGGGGTTGGTCAGCGTTCACTTTTCTGTCTCCAGTATCAGGGTGCTGATACCAAGGCTCCAGGTCCCTGTTCTCCTGGAGGGAGAAGTACTAGCTGAAGCCAAGCAGGCTTCAGACCGATAACAAATACAACATCCTTCACATTAATTTGGAATAAGAACTGTCTCCTGTTTTTCGTTTTATTTTTAACTTCATTCAAGTTGGGAGGGATGTGAAGAGAACAAATCACATTATTATAGATTTTTCTCAGTGTGTGCCTGCTGTGGAATGGAGACTATTACTGTTGCACATTTTATCCTGCTCTTGTAAAACTGTGGATAGAATAATAAAATCCTTTCTCTGTTTTATTTTCTTCCCAAGAAGGCATATAATTGACAAAAATTCTTCCAGGAAAGGAATGTATTTCAGAAAAGAGACATTTAAATTATTTAAGACACTTGGCTAAATAGAAAGCTCTGAAGCACAGCACTTCTAAAATTAAGAACACTGGAGGAAAAGCAGCTTGATTTAAAATAGCGGTAGCTTATTTAAAAAATAATGCAGATGCAATTTACTGTGTAAAGTTAATTTTGCCATTGGTCTTCAGCTGCACTTTTCAGCTTAAAAAAAAAAGCCAGAATCAAATGAAACAAATCGAAGCCAGAATTAATATGCAGTGATGTTATTTCAGAACAATATGGTGATCACAGGAATCAATTATCTGTATTCATGTTTGCTTGAGACATTTTGTTATTTAGCAAATGAGAATAGCCCAGTTGTGCAACAGCTAATGGAGATCATTCAACAGCCTCCTGTCACCACACAGGGGAGCCCCTCGTCCCACCTCACATACAGATGCTCTGCAGTACCTGCTACCCTCCTATCCATGACTGCAGACCTTGACCATTGCTGCATGATCCTTAGCTTTGCAGTTATCCCCCAGACAGAACCTAAAATAGCCAGCAGCGAGAAATCCAGTTGTGAAGGGAGGAAATTGCCTGCAAGAGCTTCCTGAGAAGGTTAGGAAGATGACAGGTAGCAAAAGCATGGACAGATATTTTAAGCTGTGGAGACAAACGCCTTGTATCATCTTTCCACATGCTCAACTGGGAATCATGAAACATCAGTACTGACACATGGCTGGTTGCATTTTCCTGAAGTATGGGATAAAAAGAGACTTGGGCTTAGGCAGGGAAGTCCTCTCTGCTTGGCCATAAGAACTGCTTTTTTTGATCTTGTTGAGTAGAATTCACAGACTGCATCCAGACTGATTTATTAGAGGGGATCCACTAAAAAGAAAAAGCAGAGCTGAAGAGCTTGGGATAATACCAGTGAGAACACCAGAAGGTATAGCAGTGAAATTGCAGGTTGGGACTGCTGCCATTATCCTTTCTCTACACACCTCTTTGGCTTAGTCTTCTCTGTAACAATTCTTCAAGTAGTTCAATACAGCAATAAATGTATCCCTAAGCTTTCCTTTCTTCTCATCGAACAAGCCCTGTTCCTTCAACCTGTCCTGGTACATCCTGTCCATCAGTCTTCTCATCATTTAGTGGCCCTCCACTGGTCATACTGTAATTTGTCAAGGTCTTCCTTACATTGGAGAGGGATTAAAATTGGACACCGTACTGAGATGTGGCTTCATTAGCATTCAGCAAAAAGGATAATCATTTCCTCCAGCCTACTGGTGATGGTTTGCTGATGCAGCACAGTACGCAATTGGCCATCACTTTTGCAGAAGGACCCTGCTAACATAAGTTCAACTTGTCCACAAACACATCAGGTTTTTTTTTTTGCCAAGCTGCTACCTAGTCAGCTTGAACTGTTGTCTGGGGTTATTCCCTCTCAGATGCAGGATTTTACATTGATGCTGTAAAAAACCTAACAGAATACAGTAAAACAGTTTAGATTCAGGTTCGAGTATTTTAAAAGATGCATTAGATATCTCTTCTACATTTCAGTCACCAACAGAAAAGAATAAAAAAGTTTGGATGCTCTATTAATTGCCATTTCATTACCATTTCTGGCTTGCTTTTAAACATGAACTGGGCTGAGTTTTCTGTGTTTGTAAAGCCTAAGACTTTGATAATGACCCTTATGTACCTTATAATTA